TCTTAGAGCCACAAGGACTCGCTTGCTTTCTTTCTTAGAGTCGCAATGACTCGCTTTCTTTCTTTCTTTCTTTCTTAGAGTCTCAATGACTCGCTTTCTTTGCAAATGGATGAGGTAGGAACTTCACCGTATCGTGAACGAACCTATCTGGGCACGGCGTCGAGCCGGCCTATTACTCATCTCGTCCACCAAACCACTCTCTTGGTTCTATGCTCAAACTCTGTGGAATCAGGTATCGAACTTTTAGCGTGCACACCCCCTGACCAGGATTCCAAGCCTGGCGGGCAGTTTCCAACCTCGTAACGTGGGAATACACCGCGTTACGTGTAACCGCAATGTCCATATCATTCATCTGAAGTCCAAACGGGTCCTCCAAAACTAGGTTTTCCTCACCATAGATATATATAGATATATCGCTCAAGAATCTCATATATGCAACACTTAACTTATGCAAAAGACATGCACATACTTCTCAATTTATTCTCAAAGATAAGATAAAGATGCTCTACGTGGAATGAGATTTTCTTTGGAAAATAATACTTAGGCTCACGTTGGCCACTTATGCATTTTTAAAACATGATATACATGGAATGCCAAATACTAAACAATATGCTTCCAACTCATATAAATAGGTCATAAAGGTCTCAAGAATACAATATCATGCTCGGTTTGCAACATGTCAAATTCTATATATTCTAACATCAAATTATACTCTGAATCCCATTGATCAAGCAACACATTCTAATCATTCTCTTCTAATAAATATTACTCTCTAAATGATCATGCTTATCTACTCAACACATAAATAATCATCAGGGCAACAAACCAAGGCATTTTCTCATTGCAGTGAACTTAAACATACATATTGTGAAGCAAAAACATCAATAAATCCTTCATAACATGCTCATTTCTAATCCAAATTCAATGAAATCAAAGAAAAACGTGCGTTGAGTTGACCCCGAGGTACCGAGCCACAAGGGCCCGTGACACCTGGCCCGAAACGACACGTAGCTGAGCCACAAGGGCCCGACCACTGCACAGAACATACTCAGGGACCAGGGGCGGCGCTCTTCATGAGCCGCCCCCTTAAGGCCGTAACATAGCCGGGCCTAGGCAACGACCCTCTCCTAGGGTCGTGCCCTAGGCCCGGTTGGCCCCGGCTTTAGCGGGCGGCCCCCTTGATGGGCCGTGGCTAGGGCCGCTACTTTCATCTGGTGCACACTGTGTGTGCACCAGATGATTCATTTCATCTACAAAAACACTTTCAAGCATGTCCAAAACATTTCAAACATTACCAACACATCATAAACAAGTAATAGGTCACTTCCTAGATCAAACACAACAAAAATCCAACATTTCTACTCATTTCTATTCAAAATCTAGGCTTCACAGAGCCAAAAATGAAGAGGGAGTCCATGGGGTTATACCTTTGAAGCTTCTTCCTCTTGCTTGGATCTCTTCTTCCTCCTAACCTAGCTAGCACCTCCTTCACCACCTAAACTCCCCAAACAAACCATACAAGGCTTAGGCTAGAACCTCAGAGAATGAAATAAGCTAGAAGGAAGATAGAAGGCTAAGATTGAAGGGGAAAAATGAAGATGAAACTTACTGTTGTTTTTCTTTCTTCTTGACAGACAAAAACCTTGGTGAGGCAAAGAAAGAGATCAGGGAATCAACAATGGAATAGTGAGGCTTATATAAGGTCCAAAACCCTAGGTAGATCATCAATGATTGGTTGGGGGAAAAGTGGTAATTTTGGTGGTAGTTCTAGCAAAGATTAGACAAAGGAGAAAGGCTTTTGGTCCACCTTGCAACATGGAACATAGACTAGAAAGGTGTTTTTAAATAGTTTGGGGTTCAAAAGGTATTTTTCCAAAAATGATTTCCAAACAAACACTTGGTTCAGAATTCTCCCCGTCTCACTCAGATTGGTTTCTTAATTTAAAACTTGGTATGCGAAGTACCCGAAAATTTAGGATTTTGGATTAAAAAGAAATTTTGGTGTTGAATCACTTTAAGATGTGTTCAAAATAATTTATTCAAACCCAATTGATCGCAAATTTTTTTTAATAGAGTGAAAATGACTATTTTGGAATTTCTTAAAATTGGATCTATAAAATAAAATGTTGGGTTGTTACACTTATGCTTGTGAAACTGCCACCTTCTTGTCACTTTTTATGACTTGATGTTTTGCCAAAATTCGGGCTGTACTTTCTGAAGAGTACTCTGTAAATTCCAATATTTTGTGCTTTCTCATTGGAATTTTCTTCGTCCTTAGGAGTTCTCCGATTACAAGACCATAACCAACATTTTGATGAAAACGAACTACCATAGCAGGTTTGTTCTTTGGTTTGGCAGCTTGTATAAATACAATCATCTTCTTGTAAATGTATTTTGCCTAGTTGCATTTTATTCCTTCCATAATGCCGTCCATCAAGCATACAGTAGATGCGGTCAAGTCTTCAGTACTTCCCAGTTTGTGCTCAAGAATTTTGTAGAGCACATCTACCAACATCTCATATTCAATCTTCAACACATTCTTATGAGCCGATATGTCTGCAAAGATTGGAGCTTTAGGGCCACGAATCTCGTTCCAAAAATTTTGAACGACATAGTTGTGAGATTCAGGAAAATTGAAACGTCTGATGCTCCAACATGAGATTTGATCGAATCCTTTTCCACGACTGCATGTAGATAAAATTTGGCTACATCTTCTTCAAAGGTTCCAAAGTAATTGTAGGTGAAGAATTCAAACAATCCGTAGTCCTTCAGTGCTTGAAGAATTTTCTCGGCCGTATCCTTGTTGGTCGAACCCAGTTTGAAAAACTCAGGGTTGAGTACCATTCCATTTGTTACTTGTCGCGAGAGAGATACTATAGGATTGATTTTTTTGTTTCCAGCTTGAGCTATGATGATCAACGAGAGAGAGAGAGAGAGAGAGAGAGAGAGAGAGAGAGAGAGTTTGGTTTTCTGAGAGAGTTCTCTGATATTTTGAAGGTCTGAAAGATTTTTCTGAGAGATAAGTGAGAGGTTTATATGAGGAGGGTGATTTGAAGGGGTTTTTCAATTTTAAGAGAGATAGACGAGACTTCTCAATTGTACCCTTTGGTTGAGGTGTGTCGAATAGGTAAGTTTAGGGTAGATGAGTCATCTGATAAGTGGTGTCACGAGGAAAGAGAAGATATCATCATTAGCAGACAGGAGCATTTAATGCTCACACATCTTTAGGAATACCCTATGCACGTAAGGTGTAGAGGGTGGAGATTTGAAGAGACACTTAGAGATTAAGGAAGGATTTGGGTTCTGATATCCTTGAGATTTGTTTATGGGAGTCGATTAAGAGGTGGATTTTGCTGACAGAGGAGATGTGGGTGACGATTTGAGAGAGAGGAATCGGTTAGGGGGATTTTGATCTAGGAGATGATTATGGGGGGAGGTTTAGGTTGGGTAGGAGTTTATGGGTGGAGGTTTGATTCCAAATTAAACTCTGATCTCCTCCTTATCTCCTTGATTTCCTTCTCAAAAATGTGTACCACAAATATAATCACACTCAAACATCTCGTTAGTAGCAAGAATCATCCCTAAATAATCAACCACACAACCATATATATTAATTTCCCATACGGTAAATTTCAATCAATTAAGCACAGTTTGGAAATTAACAAAATTATCACAAATTTTCCAAATAAACATTTAGAAATCTCTTCACATAATTTTGCACACAAATCAGATTCTATACATTTTATAAACTAACAAAATTATTTCTCATACCAGATTTCTAAAACATTTTTATAGCAAATTATGTCACATGAGTCACATATGCACGAAACACATTGATGGGGTGTGAACCCCGTGGGCTCGGGGCCCAAAAAGAAGAAGAAAAGCCCAAGAGGAAGAGATGCCCAAGAGGAAAGAGGGCCAAGTCCAGAAGAGGAAAAGCCCAAGAAAAGACAGAGGTTAGAAGCAAGAGGTCGGCTCGAGCCCGAGTTCGACGCGAGTGGGCAGGCAGCATGAAGACCGTTAGAACATTAAAGGGGCCATTTAAGAGGCCCGGTCAGCAATCCGTTGGGAGGCCCAGTAACGACAGCCCAACGCCCCCTAGTATTAATAGGTCGATTTATGGCCTTAAATGTGTACTTTTGAATGATTCCGAGGAAACCCACTATAAAATGGGACTCCTCAAGAATGTAAAGGGGACGGCAAGTTCACGCCAAGAATATACACACACTTACAAGAGCTATTATTTCCCTTCTATTTTTGAGAGGTGAATCCACCAACCAAGGTTGTGTTGGACCTCCCTGGGCCTAAAACCCTAAAACCAACAGTGGCGTCGTCCGTGAGGACGTAACGAAAGGTTACGATCGCTCTCTTGCATAAAAAAAAAGGAGTCGAAAATAGAGCAGAAAGTCGAGTAGCAGGAACGGAAGTTGAAAACAATGGCTGAGGATCGAAGCTAGGCCTCCGATCGTCACAGTGTGCCCGAGGCAGACCTGAGGAACAAATTGAACCTGCGAAATTCGCAAAGTCAAGGATGTGATTCGGTGCCTCGAAATCGGCCTCCATCGATGATACCTCTCACCCCCGCGCAGATCGGGGCCATTGCTCGCGCCGTAGCCCTACAAACCCATGAACTGAGAGAACCATCGGTCTCCCGATCGCCGAATCCGCAGCCATAAAACCAGCATCCGCCCCACAGGTTTGACAGAGACAGGCGAGAAGACCAGAGGGCAGATGACCCACCGGCTTGGTCTGTGCACTCCAGACTAAGCCCAAACACAACCCGTCGGTCGGCAAAAGAGCGATTGGATAAGGGAGCACCTAGACGAGCGCGGTCAAGTCAGCAGAATCATGAGGTCGCCAGAGAAAAGACTCACACACGAAGAACCAGAACCCAGGGGCGGCGGACTGAGAGGCCTGCCCATAACGAGGATCGGCAAGCCGAGTCTCAGGCCGGAGAAAACACCGAGTCCACCGGAAATCACACTCGGAATTCTGGCGAGATGACTTATTTGGCTGAGGAACTGCGTAATTTAAAGGAACAGGTAGAGGGCAAAACCAAGTCTCCCAGTCAAATGCTGCTCACCGCCTTGCCCTTCTCAGTCGAAATCATGGCATATAAGATACCCGGCGACTTCAAATTTCCGGAGCAAGCTACTTTCGACAGGTCGGGCGACCCGCGAGAACACCTCTTGAGCTATCAGGTGAAAATGCAGGTCTTAGGAGTCAAGGACCCTGTCATGTGCCGCGCCTTCTTGCCAACTCTGAAAGGGCAAGCTCAAAGATGGTTCGTCGCCCTGCCACCGGGATCGATCCGCAGCTTCGAGGGATTGGCCGACCGTTTCATGAGTCACTATGTTGCTAACATAAAGCCTCAGAAGGACCTTACGCATCTTGGCGATATTCACCAAGATGAGGGTGAATTGCTCAAAACGTATTTGGCTCGATGTCAGAAGGAGATCCAATCTATCGAAGAAGTCGAGGATCAGACTGCACTCACATTCGTCATTGAGTCGATTCGATCCGGCCAGTTGTATCATAACCGGCCGGCCACATACGCGGAGGCCATACACATGGCCAACAAGCGAGCCAATAATGAGCAAGCGATGAAGTACAAGCGACAGCGTGAGGCCGGAGGGGCCTCAGGAGGAAAACGAACCAGTGCAGATGCGAGAGAAAGGCATCGGGATCCACCAAGCTGACAGGAGGCCCAACGCGCCTACGATAGAACCGGTACTCACCCTTACCGACCGCTTCCTCCGCATCCAGTGCACGAGATAAAGCGGGTGTGCCGCCTCTGCCGAGTGAGCATACGACTAGTGCCGACCCGGGTAAGCCATCCAAGTACTGTCGCTATCATAAAACTTATACTCACAACACGGAAGATTGCTATTACTTAAAGAAGATCATGGAGGGGATCATTCAGCAAGGTACGTGGCCTCCTAATCAATGGCGAAGAAGGGCGACATCCTAGACAAAAGAAGATGGCGACCCCTCCGGGTCGGCCTACTTAGATCACGACAAGCAACCGGTATCCGCGGAGGATGAGGCGCAATGGAGACAGAAGCTGGTCATCAATATGATAGTCGGCGGCCCAGAAGGAGGTGACTCCTCTAATACTCGAAAGACTTGGGCTCGGCAGTTGTACGTGGGTACAGCGTACGGGCGTGAAGGCAGCCCAAAGAGAGCATGCAAAGAACCCATAACTTTCACGGATAAGGACTTGCCGACTGGCCAGGCACCGCACCGCGATGCACTGGTTGTAACACCCCGTGTTACGGCCACTAACCCAAACTAATTATTTAATTACTTACCATTAAAAGAGAATTGAATTCCCTTAATTAATTAAGAAGAGTCCACCATGGATCATGGACCCTTATCCCTAAACCAAACCCTTAGTCCTATAAGGAATAGAATAAGTAAATTCCTATCATTCAAACCCTAGTTAGGACTCTTAGGTATATATAAGGACATAGGAGGCACCTTGAATTCACACCACAATTGATTCCACCACACAAGAATTCCCAAGAATTCCCCTATCACAAAACATATGAGAAATCAAGAAGAGGGGATCTAGAGAAAGAACCTTAGTAGCCAAGGATTCTAATTAAGGCTAAGAGGTAACCCATGTCTCAACAAAACCTATTTTCCTTGCTATAATCTTCTTCTTTGGCTTATTTGATATGCAATTCTATGCTTGTATCTTGATAAGGCTTTTATGGTGATTATGAGATAATCTTGATGTTTATGAGACGATCTTGATATTTATGTGTTGATCTTGATGCTTATGTGATAATCTTGATGTTCTTGATTTTAAGATAAATTATGATCTTGTTCTTTAAATATGACTAGAGCCCTAGGGTTAAATCGTGGATTTCGTATCGTGATATTCTTGGTATGTTTGGGCGGGATCTTGCATGTTCGGGTATTGAGTCTTGATTATGTTTAGAAGTCGTGTTAGGATGTATTTGATGTGATTCTTGATTTTAATTCATTACTTGATTACGTGGTGTCGTCGTTTGTGTTTAAATGTGTCTGGACATGGTTTTGGGTTCCACGAGGGATCCCAGGACCGAATTAACACATAAGAGTCAGTGGGGGATAGGTGGGTGTAACACCCCCATTTCTTAAACTACATAAACTGTCGAAAATACGTACAATTTTCTTTTTTTTTTTTTTTTTGTTGAAAACATATATAATTGCGGAAGCAAAATTAAAACCAAAAGAAACGGAGAGTGCTACCGCCACATTCAGGAATTTCTCTTATACCCAAATGCTAAGGCCAAAAACAGCTAACTAAAACAACTCAATGTATGAACTAGTACATGAACAACTAACAATTCAACTGTCTAACTAATAAATGATATCTCTAGGTGGTTCGCTCATTCTCATGCCCAATGCTAATGCAAGAGTTCCTGCAAAAACAATTAAAGAATAGAAAACAAAGAAACACACAAATTCAGCATTAAGCTTGTAAGATCTACTTCACCCCGTAAAACATATTTGCACATAGCACATAGGAGCAGATAATTGGCATATAGCATACACCCTTTAAACATTTAATCTTTTATTACCAATAGAGCATAATCATATAGAACATAACTCAAATATGAAATACTCAGAATTTCCAACAACCATAATTTCCCAACAATACTCATAATTTTTAATAACAAATCAGTAGTTCTCACAATGGATATTTAGGAACCTTTCAAAAGTAATATATTTTTTTCCAACATGGAGGAACACCAATCCCAATGCAATGGGCAGGGTCTTGTTTCATCAAGCCCTAGTGAACAGTAATCACCATACTGGACACTACACAAAATCCCATTCAATCTCAAATAATGGGCGGGGTCTTAATTACTTAAGCCCTAGTGAACAGTAATCACTCTACTGAACACTACGCAAAAATTCCATTTAAACCAACCAAATGATGGGCAGAGTCTTATTCAATAAGCCCTAGTGAACAGTACTCACTCAACTGAACACTACGCAAATATCCCATATAAGTGGAACAGAACTAATACCTTAAGTGTGCACACCCCCAATGGGTTTCCAAGCCCAATGGGTAGTAACTAGTCCTAGTAGCCAGGATACGTTTCTACTGACTACTACTCAACAGGGTAAATACCCTAGTGGTAGACTCCGCTAACCACTCCTCAAAACAACAGGACTAAATGTCCTAGTGAGACAGGATATGTTTCTACTGCTCATTCCACAAAACAACAGAGAGTTTTTAAGCTCCCTAGTGAGTCGGTATATTCAACCGCTCACTCCACAACAAACTGGGTCATAACTCAAGTATCCAAAATTTCACAACAGGATACTACACAAGTCTTAAGAATCAATTTCCTTTATCCTCAATCTTTATAAAAGTGACAACATTACTGATATTTCTCAAGCAAACAAATTCTCAACACCTCAAATAAGGAACCGACAGAAATTTTCAGAAGGTATGACCTATATTGCAAAATTTATAGAAATATATTGGTAATACATTTTCAGATGAAATTTTCCAGATACAAGTTACAGTGAGTCTAGATTATACAAAAAAAATTTCAAATCAATCCAAGGTCTAAAAGTATTTTTCCCGAATTATTCCCAAACACTGCGCCAGACAGAAATTGAACTGGCAGCACACTGCCTCCACTTTACGAAATTTTTCAGGAAAAATCGAAACATATTTTTAACCAAAAATTTTTACAAAAATCAATTAGAACAAGTCTAGATTCTCCATAAAAAGTTTCAAGCAAAAAGAAGTTTAGGAAGCAATTTTCACGAATTTTTCTTTCCAGCTGCGCCAGTCAGAATTTTCTCAGGCAATATTCAGATTGAGTACAATTTTTCCTTTTAAATCACTATAAAATCACCATATCACATATTAAGGGATTCCAAAACATCTAAACGCACATGTCTACTCACACAATATAATAAAATAACTTCCCACGTTAATTATCACAAATTCATTAAAATCATGAATCACATAAACAATTAGAAAAATAAATTTTTGATTTGGGGTAAAAGGATTTTAGTGAACATAAACCTTACCTCTAATAATGCCCAAAAGCAATCACCTAAGCTTGATGATCTTGACATCTAATTCTTGAAATTAATTGATAAGAAGAAACTGCTAGGGTCTTATTTTTGTTTGGGAGAAAGGAGGGATTGTCGACAGAGAGAGATAGAAAAATATATTGACTTAGGTTATCTGGAACAATATGACTACTACTTAAACACTTAACTAATAAATTGTATTATAAATAATAATTCTAGTTGTAAGAGACTACAATACCTAAAAACTTAATATAATATTAATATACTTATTAGCCTACTAGCACTTAACATATATACATACGTAACACATATATAAATAAATAATTATTAGCCATAATACACCGTTTAGAAATAAAAGAGTAGCAGTAGTAGACTAGTTTAAATAGTTTTGGGTCACATAAAATAATATAATTACAGACCATATAGTAAAAATATTTTATTTAACATAATACCTATTTTATAAAATTTTATTTAGAATAATAATATTTATAACAAAATACTCAAATAACCGGGGTATCATAGTGGGGGCAGGGGTACCCGCTGCCCCATGAGGCCGCCCGGCAGCGGGCAGGCGTCTGCCCTGCGGGCACCCGTTGCCTCGTGTTGTGCCGCCAGCGGGTGGCCCTCCACCTGCCGGCCACCCGCTGGAAATTCCAGTGTGGAACGTGGTGGTTTTCTACGATTGATGTTTCCCTGTGTCCCGTGGTGTCCCATTGGACATCGTTTCTCGTGCCTGAGTCTAGTTTGATGTTTTGGGTACCGTTCGTTGGATAAAAGAGTCTTGTGTATTGCATGCTAGTCGAATTGGTATCCCGTTGGCCTAGGAGAAAGATTCATGAACCCCATAGGCGTATCTCTAGTAATGTGGTGGCTATACAGGCAGTTGGATGGGTTGAGAACCATTGCCTGTTAACCCGGCCGGTTGCGATCGGACGGGTATATAAATATATTTATAGGGCTGCGGTCCATAATCTGGTTGCGATTAGAAATACACACTATTCGGGGTGCGGTCCACCGTTTGGTTGCTATCAAACGTTATAAATGAGCTGCGGTTCATCGATTGGTTGCGATCAATCCCCTTGTGCTGCGGTACAAGGCAGGGTGCTTCGGGGCCGTGTCAGAGCTATATGCGCTGACCCTCATGTATGGGCATTCGATTGGTCCTGCGGCACCGCCAAATGTGTTTACATGTTGAGATAATGATTGAATACTGATATGTTTGATGTGAAATAATCTTGTGACCTTAGGGTGTATGTTAGTATCTTCATATACGTGATTATATCTGATGAGTGTGCCTATCCTTACTTGTTGAGTCTATTCTCGGTTTTAAATTAGAGTCTCATAAGTATATATGTATTCCGGCTTCAAAATGGTTTTTCATATATATATATATATATATATATATATCTACCTATATTGTATTTTAACGCGTTAGAGTGGGTTACCAGCATTATTCGCTGAACAGATATATTTGGCTTTCAGGCATAGATGAGTCGCTCCAGAGCGCGCTAGAGGACACGAGGCTTAGTTAGTTTAGTTCCTTATCGGCCTGCGTGCAATGATGATGTACTTGACATTGATTCGAGGATTTCTGATGTTTAGTTAGTTTAGCCTGTGCATCTGAGCTCTCCAGCTCAGATGTGGCATA